TCTCATGGTGTGCGGCTAGGGTGGCCCCTGATGCTTCCCCATAATACAGGACAGCTCCTTGGTGAGATGGGGGCCGCTCAGGCAACCAGTTGTGAGGGATGGGGCTGCCACCTCCTCAGCCAAACAGCAGCAAGGGGTGGGGCCACCACTCCCCTGCCTCCTTCCCTCCCTCCCTAGCTGGCCCAGAACCCCTCTCCTCCTGGCTGTCCACCACCCTGCCTCTAGGCACAGCCAATATAATCACAAGGACAAATGATTGACATGCATTTCCACCAGTGCACTGAAAAACAGGTCTTTTTGCTGTCCATTCCTCATTCAGCAATGGACAGGTGACAAAGGGTTTGAAAACAGGGCCAATGGCCACCCTATGTGTGGCTCTGGGGTAATTCATCCTTGAAGCCCCTATAAGAAATTGGATATCCCTACTCTAAAATATGATACCAAACTACACTTTAAATTATGCTCCTGCCTATTATGTAACTTTTAAATATATATATATATGGTTCTCTCTTTTAGCACTGTAGTACTGTTCATACCTTTACAGCCATATACTGGAATTGTGTTGGTATAGTCATTAAAATTTCTACTCATTTAAACCATAGACTGAAGGGTTTAAACTGATATATTGTTTGAGTTATTTCCTATTCAGGAAATCAACCATGCCTGTAGATTAGCCTCTAATGACTACTTCAATATTTTATACCCCAGGGAATTATGTGCAGAAAAATTCAAAATTATGCAAACTTACTTTATATTTTTACAAATTAAACTAAATATAACACTATTTGAAAATTCTTTAGAAATACATGTGGGTACTTGTGTGCGGAGGGTGTGGGGGGGAATTTGTGAGGTGGCATGGGGGAGGTTCTGAAGGTGTGGGAGACGTGGGTGTGTATGGAGTTTATGGGCGGATATGAAGAGATTTCATAGATTTCATAGACATTAGGGCTGGAAGGGACCTCGGAAGATCATCGAGTCCAGCCCCCTGCCCAAAGGGCAGGAAGTCAGCTGGGGTCATAGGATCCCAGCAAGATAAGCATCCAGTTTGCTCTTGAAGGTGTTCAATGTAGGCGCTTGAACCACCTCCGGTGGCAGGCTGTTCCAGACCTCGGGGGTTCGGACAGTAAAGAAATTCTTCCTTATGTCCAGCCTGAAACGGTCTTGTAGTAGTTTATGACCGTTCGACCTAGTCGTCATCCCTTGGGGCGCTCTGGTGAACAAATGTTCCCCCAGATACTGGTGGTCACCCCTGATAAACTTATAGGTGGCCATCAGATCATCCCTGAGCCTGCGCTTTTCCAGGCTAAAGAGCCCCAGGGCTCTCAGCCTGTCATCGTAGGGTCTGCTTCCCTGACCTCTGATCATGAGCGTGGCTCTTCTCTGGACTCTCTCAAGCTTCTCCACATCCTTTTTGAATTGTGGAGCCCAAAACTGGAAGCAGTACTCCAGCTGTGGCCTCACTAAGGCCGAGTACAGGGGGAGAATGACGTCCCGGGATTTGCTTGAGAAGCATCTATGGATGCAAGCCAGCGTTTTGGTCGCTTTACTAGCCGCAGCATCGCATTGCAGGCTCATGTTCATCTTGAGGTCAATGATGCCCCCCAAGTCTCTTTCTTCCATAGTGCTAGCCAACATAGCACTGCCGAGCCTATAAGGATGCTGCGGGTTTTTCTTCCCAAGGTGGAGAACCTTACATTTATCGGCATTGAACACCATCAGATTCTCGTCCGCCCACTTGCTGAGCCTGTCCAGGTCAGCCTGGATAACCTGCCTGTCTTCTGGTGTGGATGCTTTGCCCCAAAGTTTGGTGTCATCGGCGAACTTGGCCAGTCCGCTTCTGACTCCAGTGTCCACATCATTAATGAAGATGTTGAACAGTATGGATCGTGGAGGACCCAAGGCGACAACTGGCCAGTTTCTCCAAGAGGTGATCATGGGAAACCAGATCGAAGGCTTTTTTGAAGTCAAGATATATGACATCAATCTCTTCTCCCTCGTCCAGGTGATAGGTCACCTGGTCATAGAAGGAAATGAGATGTGTGAGTGTGTGCAGTTTGTGGGGGGTATGGCCCCCCCATGCACAGCCCCCAGCACACACCCCCTCTGCACAGCTCCTGCCCACCACATACCACCCCGTGCATAGACCCTGCCATCACATGCACCCCACCGTGCACAGTCCACCCCACCATGCACCCCCCCCACCACGCACAGTTCCATGCCACATGCCCTCACCTGCAGAGCCCCTGCCACCAGCAGCAGCAACAGGTTGCCACTCCTGGCTGCAGCAGGCAAAGCCCCCCCTGGTGATGCACAGCTCTGGCAGATCCTGAGGGCTGTACATGGCAGCACAGAGCCAGCTCAGCCCAGCCCACTGGCACATGCCTTCAAACAAGATCAGGCTGGCTCCATGCCAGGACATGTGGATCACAGCACTGCAGATGATAGCCATGTGCAGCCCCCAGGATTCACCAGAGCCGTACACTGCCAGGGGCTCTGCCTGCCCCATCCAGGAGTGCCCTGAGGGCCCGCTGCCTGCTGCTGCTGGCAACAGGGGCTGTGTACCATGGGGTGAGGGGCATGTGGTGGAAAAGCCAACACCTACCTACAAACCCCACACACCCCCCTACACCCCGCAGGCAGAAGCTCCCCTTTTCACTCACCACCTACACCCCAGGGAATTACGCGATATTATGAGATCATGTGCAGGCACATAATTGCATAACTCCATTGGATGTAAAGTTTTAAGGAAATAAATAGTTTACAAATTAGCTATTACATAGATATAGTGTCAACCCTTTTTGTAGATAGGTTTCTCCACTTCACCATCATGACCTCTACTAGAATTAGTTGAAGGGGCCAAAACAGCAGACACAAACAGCTGAGGAAATATGTTAGCAACTAAAAAAATTCTGACAGAAAAGTTGCCATGGACAGAGTGATCCTCTTGTCTGCTGTCTACCAGGTAAGGCGTCATCTTCACCTTCAAGTACTGTTTCACCTTCTTTAAGATTATGAGGAAATAAAGATGGTTCTGCAGTTTCCTGTTTTCCCATGTGGTCTAGCAATACATTACGTAGACCTTGCTGGAGCACTGATCAGTATATATACTGTTCACATACAGGCTCTGCTGAAGCATTGACCAAAATAGGCCTCACTAAAAACATTACTGATTCACAAACTGCTTATAGAGGCTGAAGCGGAAATGTGCACACAGGAGTAGACTATACAAATTCAACATGAGGTTGATCAATAAGGCTGGTACTGGACGGTCTAAATAACACAAGATAACGATGACATGTACAAGAAGGTGTATGATTTAAACAGGAAATACGATGATCTGGTAAAGATGTTTTAATACTTATTAAGAACATGGTACAGGACATGTATGATGCAAGCAGAAAGTTGTTTTGATCAGTGTATAATAGGGGAACTGGAAATCCTTGGAACTTTGTATTTGGCCTAGGGGATGCATTTGTTATGTGAGTTGTGCCAGTACATTACCCCAAGCACCCAGAGCTAAGACTGTGTAACCCACTGGCGATGCATGTTAACGAGTAGATGCTTTGTAGGTAATAAACCTAGTCAAGCTTTTGCCACAGAACAAGCCTATGGTCATTCTTCCTATAACATCAAGGACTCCAGGGAATATACACTGCCTGAAGCAATTACTGCAGTACAGACTATGACAAGGCCCTCACATACACCGAAAACTACACTGACCACACAAAGAGAGGACAGCACAGTACCATGGGCCAGTAGGACCAGTTTCCTCACCAACCCAGAAGATACTTCGCATGTGAAACAACTGATCATACAGTGGACGAGAACTGAGTTACTACAGAGCACATTTCCACCTTCTGTTTCAAGATTACATGCTCTCAGCTAAACTGCCATTGAGGATTAAGAATTTTTAGAAAAACAGATGCCAGAAGCTGCCTTTCTTCAGGATCACATGAAGAGCTGCAGCAAACAAAGAAATTGATGGAAGGAAAAAATGTACTACCATCTGTGCTGAGCTGGATAGCAGCCAGAGGAACTTCCCAGAATCTGCATTAGTAACCACTGAGGCTCTGGACAGGTTAAAGATAATCCTTAACTGCCTATTCAATAGCTTAGAAGTGCTCGGTTTGTCCTTGAACAGTAATCTTACCTATATGCATTTGAATTACTCATGTTGAAGAACTACAGCCTTGATTCAGTATGGAATCTACTACTACAGGCTTTATACAGATCAGTGGTGTCCAACCTTCTGGCCCCATGGGCTGAAGGAGTGGTGCAGTGATCCATGGTGGTGGTTTTAATGGATGAATACATTTAGTTGCAGCACTGCTGCTAAAAGTACTAACAGATGACTCTGAAGTTGTTGCAGGTAGACAGTCAAAGTCTCTTCTGTTTAAATGGGAACCTGAAACAAACATGATTTTTGAATAGTCATTCTTCTCAGTTCTTCTTACTCTATTATTGAGTTAATCATTTACATTTTTTTCTGAAAGGATGGAGCTCAAATTCCAAATTACCAAAAAAGCTAAGACTGACTGCACTTAGAGTGCACTTAATTTTGAAGTAAGCCCCATTGAACTCACTGGCACTTCTGTTTTTTGAGAAACAAGTATAGGATGGGGTTCCTTTGGGAGAGCTGAGTTATGATGAAGTAAAATAGGGAATAGACTTATGGCATCACCATTATGGTCTAGGGCCATGATGTTCCAAAATAAGGGGCATGTATTATGTAATATAAAATAAGAAAATGACACCCGGGGCAACTGTCACTCTAGATTTCTCTTACTGCAGCTTTCTGTACCGTAAACTTGGGTGATAGATCCTAAACCTAGTTAACTAATTAAAGAAGCCGTAAGGATTAGCCAAGCTAAACTTTATTTTCTAGCAACATCCAACATAGCAAACTGCTTGGGAATTTACTTGTTAAATCACACTTATACTAAAAGACATAAAGACAATCTTGAAGAATAATGCATTGCAAAGTGAATTGTTTAATTTACTAACCAGTTGATCAACATCAACTGTTGTTCTTCAGACATATCCACATCTTCATGCACATCATTTTCTCCCAATAAGCAGTTTTCATTATGATGTTTCATTCTTGCAACTAGGCCCTGCATCTCCTTCTTGCGCTGCTTACACTTGATGCGTTTTTCTTTTTTACCCAGAGAAGGAATTTCTTCAAAATATTCCCAGATAGGGTCTCTCTTATACCCAGAAGCCATGGCAGTTTTTCTGTGGCAAAAGTGTAAGGGAATATATAGGAAGCTGTGTGTGTACTACTGAATAATGTCTTCCCTTTTTCTTTCTAGTCCACACTAATGTTCCTTTCTACTCTGCCTCCTTCCTTTCCTATATTGTCTCTCTGTCTCTAACTAACTCCTCTGCCTTGCTTGGCCCAGCTCCACCACGACGTAAGCACAGAACAACCACAATCCTATCCAGCCTGTGTCTTTGAACATGTGACTTTCAGTTTCCGTTTCTCAGCAGATTAAAGCCCAGGACTTTCAAGAAGCAAGAGCTGGTAGTTAGGCTGGACAGACAGACTAGAGCCATTTTCATGAGATAAAAAACTGAAATGAATGGCCATGTTTGATTGGTACATAACTTGGGGGGGGGGGGTGTAACAGAGCCATTAATTCATTTTTATGAGACTATAAGTGTAGGTTTAGCATGTTTGTGATGAGATTTAATTGTAACTGTTATTTTTTAAATGAAAGAAAAGTAGTATTTTATTGATGACTTTTAAAAGAAAAATCAAAAAAAGATTTAATTTTTTTTTTCTTAATCACTGATTTTTATTCACCCTGCCACCAGCTCAATCTCATGCACCCAGACCCAGCTGAGGTGTATCCCCACATGCCAGCCCAACTGCTCACTAGCATGATCCAGGACACAGAGCTCTATCCCACAGGTCTCCCCCAAGAGTTTGGAAATCTGGCAGCAGGGGAGTGGCAATTAATGCTGCCACCACTCTCCAACCACCACATTTTTGGATGCATGGGAATCTCTGAGGCCAGAAGCTGAGCACCACTGATGTAGACTACTATTAATGAAGTCCTGGTCTGCAGTAGTGATTATAATGCAGGATCAGATGCTAAAGTTGAGCTAGCACCTTCTACAAAATGATTATGGTGCCATAATAACAAAGTATGGTAAACATGTGACCATATTTACTTACTTACCCCACACCTTTTCCCCCAAAACCAGCCCTCCATAATTAAAGTGCATGTCTGACAAGGGCAAACTGACTTTTTATGTTGGAATGGAAGCATAGAAATGCTGTAAGATGGCTGCTGCGCTTCCTTCTACCAGTTTCAGGGGGAGAGCAGACAGAGTTCACCCTTCATAGTCAAAATTATTATTAATCATTTCACAACCACTACAGAATTTGTTGCAGCTTTGGGCTGAGCAGCCACCAACTGCTGCCAATTGGCCGATGGCTATGAGAGGGTTAACACTTAACTTTCACCTGAGCAGTGCCAATCAGGATTCAGGTATGTGTAGCCATGATTCTGAAAACATCTTTTTTTTCTTCATTCTGCCTTTTACAATTTAAGGCACGTGTGAGAAAAAAAAGCAGATTGTAGGGAATTATGACCATGAACCAGATACTTAATGGGCCTTTTCCCTGTAATGTCTATAATTGTCTGTATAAACCTGCCCTTAGACAAATCAAAATGCAAAAAAGATCATGTAAGAGTTTTTGTCACAGAAAGAGAAATAGTATGTCTATAAGACAGGTCAATCACTAATAGCCCAGCAAACTGAGAACTGCTTAGTTTGAGGATTCAACTGTCAAAACACCAGAGGTTAGTGGTGAATTTCAGGGATCAAAACTGTATGTACAATAGATTCCAATTCAAAAGGAACACCAGAAAGTCTGAGAAAGGATTCCTTTTTCCTGGAAAATGAAATATGTGTCACAAAGCAGTCAAATAAAGTCAAATGAATTTCAATAAAATACTTTTACTTGCACTAACTGAACTTTTGGTTTCGAACTTCACCAAATTACTGAGTCTATACCATAGTCTATACCATCCTTTCAGTAACAGAGGACCAAATTAACACAGCTTGATCGTGAGGAGAGCTGGAGTACATAATTTATTATGGGGTTAATCTTAAACAGCAATATGACCACAAGTGACTCCTTCCAAAGCACATGTACAAGGACTACTTTCATAGATTTCATAGACATTAGG